AAAAAGTATGAATTATGATTAATAGTTTTAGTTTATAAATATATTAACTTTTACATTCTTTCTTTCAAATTATTGTTTAAGATATATGCATACATTTTTGGGGGACAGGGAGTGGGGAGAGGACTATGGAGGATATTTTTTATTAGCTTAAAATGATATTAACAAAAAGTGATAAATTTCTGAGGGGGGGGGTGAATTTCCCCTTGCCACTCCTGGCTACGCCTATGATCTTTCATATATATGTTAGTATATGGGGATAAAGGAACCTATTGGAATTGTAAGGTTGAGAATTTAAAGTAATATTTAAACTAAGAAAGACATGTCAGTATAGATGTGTTCTATCTTTTATTTTATTATGTAATCTAAAGTAGCGCGTTACTATTTAGTAGTAAACATAACGCAATTTAATCCATAATACAATTAAATTTACATTAAAAAATAAAGAAATTATTGCGAATAATTAACTAAATAAAATAAGTGCATAGTCATAATAAAGGTACTCATCCTTAAAAAATCCAATTCTTTTATACCTTTTTTTAAAATCGGTTATATGTGCCATTAAAAATTGCCAATAGCAATATCTAAAAATAGCGGAATTTTTTTATGTGTGCTCTCTTATTGACCAATCAAAGAGCTTAATTTGGCGCAACATCCTTGATTACACACAAATATCCATGTGGTTTTGTTCCTAATAATAAATATTTGGTCGATAACAAAACCAATTAAATTGTTTATCACTTTCGATTTATGTGGCGATAGTTAAGTAAAAAAAATAAAAAATAAAATTAATTAATAACTGTGAAAACACAACTCCTAGAACAGTTGAGAAAGGAGGAATGTTTCCGTCAGACTGATAACCGGCAGTAAAACCTCTCATCGCCAAAAATAATAAGTCCTATATATATTTCAAACAAGAAAGTTGAGGCGTACTCTCAAGCAACCTGCAGTGCATACACATGTGCAAAGCGAGAAATAAATTAGGGCTACTGTCCCTCTCACAACGAAGACTCCATAGAAGTTTGCTGCAAGTTGGAATGTGAAAACAGTTTGATGTCGTACGCATGCCTGAGATAGACAAAATAGTCGGGGGCCAAGATGAAAGATCTCGTAGAGGGGTATAAGTTGTACTACAATGGGACAGCGGCAAAATTAATGGAGTTGATATTATCTTAAATAAAAGCTCAAAAATAAAGTACTCGAAGTAAGAAGTGCTCGATCGTTTAATGTGGGTCAAGCTAGCCGAGGAGGTCCGCTTTAAATCATAAACGCCTATGCATCGACCAGAGGTTGAATAGGAAGCTTTTCTAACAGAGCGAGAGTATGTGCAAAAGTTTCCAAACAGAAAAGGGATTATTCTAAGACTAATCATAAGCATAAGATAGCTATTGATAAATTACAATTAAACTTGTCAAAATTTTATATTCCAATGATGTCGGTAGAATAATGCCAGGAAAATGGCTTAATATGTAGGGGATTTTCATTTAACACATTTATCTATCAGGGCGTGGCTAGCTTTTACAATCTCAGGGAGCTCAACTAAAAAATTTTTAGAGGGGGCTTCGCCCCCAATTTCCCTAATTTGAGGCTGGAAAAAAGCGGTTATATTAATATATTATAGTTTTTTTTACATTTGTTAATTCTGAACAACTATACTGAATTTTAATTTTCTCATTTATTATATTATGCATACAAAATAAACTGGCATATAAATAATTAAAACAATACATTTCTAAATATAATATTTTTTAATACAAAATCTATTTATTACAGTATAAAATATTTTCGATTGCTGATATAAAAAATATTTGCGTTTAAAGAATTAAAAGTGATAAAAAGGATTAATTAATTCTTACATATGCCTCAATTGATAATAGTTTTTAAAAACTACATAATGCAATAATATAATTCTTAGCAACTTACATTGACAAAAAATCAAACAAATAACTCTCTGTTACCATTTTACACATTTATAGAATGGACTAATAGGAAAAATTTATAGGCCTAAACCAAATCAACAATTATTGAAAAAGAGAGTATAAACGACCAATCCAAATCATAAAACTATTAAGTGGATAGAGCTTCCTTTTAGATGACATGATAGTAGCTAGATAAGTAATCGAGAAAATTATTGTGAGATATTAAATTTCTAAAAGATTATCATCCATTTTAAATGATATATGATATATAAACGACTACACAGTTGACCATTATTGTTTATCTAAAATACAATCATATGCTCTCAGCCGTTGTAGTAATAATCCTAAATTACATAGCAACACAAATAATAGATGCTGGTTAATTTACAATAATAGCTATGACACTCAGGATGTAAACTAGTCACATAATTTTTTATGTTGGATAAATTGATAAAATAAAAACACTAAAAATCTTTGGAAGAAATAATTGTGCAAATATATTGAAGCCTTGAGTTATTTACATGGCAAGGATGCCATGAAACATTTTGGAACTATAAAATAAGGACCAGAATATATGATGAAACAATTTAGATTTTATACATTGTCGCACCACCTCTAGTTGGTATATTATTACTTAAAATAATAGTAGTTTGTATCAAAAATATACTTGTATAAAAAATGTAACTCAAAATTGTTTTTTGATAAAGAAAAAAAATTAACTTTCCTAAAGTAAAAAAGAAAAGAAATGATATCAAATATATTACATCTATCGTAGGATGAATAATAAAATGTTTAATTTGTAAAATTATTTATAACTAAATAGATGGCGTTAAATACTTAAAAGAAAATTGTTTCAATTTTTATTAACAAAAGCTTTTATTACTAAAATTCATTATAATATTAGCTGAAATATAATAACTGTCTTATACGTCTATAAAAGTGGCATTTTACCTAATATTTTATAAACAACTGTATATAATAGAGGATTATAAACTATGTCTACTTACTTACTTTTTATTATACTTCGTCGGCCTAGAATTGGAATGCTCCACTTGCTCAAATGTTTAATTTAAAACGTGAAAATCAAATCTAGGAAAAACTTACTGATCAATTTTGACAGAGCTATAACTTTGGCAAAAATTAATTTTAATCTAGTTTTTATTTTCATATTTATTGGGAATAAATAAGTTATTATCCACTTCTAACTCAAAAATTTTGAAAATGTCGAGTGCAGCACTCTAATTCTAGACCAACGACTTATTTCAATGATATATATCATTGACTTATTTGGACCTTGAAAATATTTTTAGGAATAGGTATGATAATAAAATTTAAAAATAAATATACAGTTGATTAGTCATTTTGAACTCTGCTAATTACAATATTATATTTTTTAATTTTCAATTAATAAATGATTATATTTATTTAATAAGGGTTATAAAATAATTTAAATAATAATAGTCAATTAAGCTTCAATTGTTAATGCTAAATTAATATTTAGAGAGTGATATTAATATTCATTTTTAACACAGAATTTGATTGCAAGGTGACATAGTGAAAATATAATTTATAAGTATTAATCTAATCTATTAATTAAAATAGTATTCATTTAAGAATAATTTAGATAGACTTATTAATTTTTAAATTATAAAATTAAATCTATATATTACCCAATAGAATTATAAAAGAAATCATTCAGTGGGCAATCAAAAAAATTTATTTTTAGTTGAAGGGGATATTCAATAGCCATTAAAAAAAATTTTTGCTTCAGGGGGCTATTCATCCAGGGGGCTTGATCCCCTGCGCCCCCCCCCACTATCCCCCTAGCGACGCCACTGTTATCTATAAAATATATTATATAGCAATTTTCCTTTAAATGTGAGTAATTTTAAGTTAAAAAAAATGCATGGAAATTACAAAAACTATTTTTTTAGCCCACAAAAAAAAACTTTTAAGAAACCTTAAATAATCAGAGCTAGTGAACAAACATTATAACCATCATTTCATAATAAATGAGCCGGGCCAGGCCTGAGTTATGAAATGTTTTTAAAGTTGATAATTAGGGAAATTTATATCGCTTCTCTTTATAAATTTTTTAGAGGGGTCTGGAAAAAAAAAATATGTTAAGGGCCCACACGTTATTAATTGCTCGTAGTTTTCTTTAGATATAGTTGTGCACTTAAAACATGCAATAATTTTTTGATTAATGAGGATGTCAAGTCAACATAAAGAAATTTTCCAAACAACCAATTTTTTAAAAAATATAGTTTCAGTCTAAATATTAATTTATTATTGATATTTACGAAATTGAATTTGTTTATAAATGCAAGAAGAATTTTTTTTATTTAAAATAAATATATGGTATCATATGATGGCTTCTGATCTACAATATATATTGCATCGTACCACACAATCAGCTAGTTAGATTTAGAAAACCCCAATCCTTGCTGGATTCAGACCCAGATCAAATAAAGGCAGTCACCAATAAAAAGTCAAACATAAAATGGTTAAAATTTTAAGTGCTCGAATGTATACAAAGAAAACTATGAGGATATTTATAAACCACTTTTTATAATATGGTTTCTTGTGGACAAATATTTATCTTTTTCAAAATTTACACCAAATAAAATGACTGGCAATATAAATTTTTTTTAAAAATATCTCCACTATATTTTATCATAAGATTTTTATCTAAAATTCATATATATTTTACTTAATAAATCACTAATTGAAAATTTTACCACCAAGATAATTAATATATTCAAAAAGAAGTGCAAGGCCAAAAATTTAGCTAAATCTTTACCAAAATCTAAAGGGGGTTGGTGACAAAATTATTGACTTTATATTAAATTACCTCCTATTATATTTAAAATAAAATCCATAATAATAATTAGTTAAGCTTTAACTATAAAGAAAGATAGATAATCTTTTGAAACTGAAAAAACCATTTTTAAAGTTTTTAAAAAACACATATCATATCTTATCAAAGTTGATATAAAATTACAAATTAAAATATCTTTTATTTATTTTTTATAATTAAAATTTTGGAATAAAATATATATAATTAATATAAAAACAGTTTATTTAATTATAAAATATTGATAAATGCTTGCTGATATTTTTATATAATAATTTATTTGAAGCATTCTTGAATATTTGTGATATTAATAGATGTTTTTCTTCATCATCAGAGCAACTTTGATAGCCATTGTATAGATGTTGAAATGTAGGATAAACTTCTGAAATTTTAAAAGCCTTTTCTACGGATACTCCATGGAAATACAAAAGATGTTTAGCAAACAAATCTTTTATGGTTAAATTTTTGTTTTTAGAGGTTAAGTTTGAAAATTCTGGAAATGTTAATGGAAGGTGTTTTTTATTATTAGATCCACTTAAGGCTAAATCATTATGCATTTTTATAATGTTTACATGCATCATCATAAGTATGTTAACAGAATGTTTTAGATTGTCAGTAAATATTATTTTAAAATTATCAATTATCATAGTATTAATAATGGCTTGTTTTAGAGAATCTACACTCAAACCAAAGTATTTTGAGGGGTCCATACTTTCAACTAATAAAATTGGTTTCATATCTAAATTAGATAATCTTTTCAATCTAAATTTTTGTTCCCTAAACCGCCCATCTTTGATACTATGAGATAAATCTGATATATTCTTCCTTTCAATAATATAGGGGAATAAATATGTGTCTGCTGTGTTGTTATATTTTATGACCCAGAGAAAATCCCCAAGTGTTAGCCTTATTACTTCAATCTTCACACCATTTTTCATGAAGATATCTTTAGCATATTTTTTAAAATAGGATGAGTTATTCTCAGTTGAATCTATGTATAAAATTATTTCATAATTTGAATTAGACAAAGGGACAGAGTATCTAGAAATCTTATTATTTGAAGTTGTATTTGAATATGAAACATTTTTAATTGATTTTCTTATTTGTAGTGTTTTATGTTTTCTAGCATGTAACACACTCTTAATCGATAGATTCATCGTGTTTTCATTGTAACCGCTTAATTTTTCTTGTAACATTCCACACAGGCTTGCTCCAATACCTTGTATAATAAATGCTTCATTTCCATCTTTCAATGGAATGGGATATTTTTTTAATGATCGCAATGCTTTTGCAAGAGTGTATTGAAATTTGGAATCATTATCTTTAGCCTCTTTATACCAAGTTTCTAAGCACTCCACAAATAATGAATTTGGAAATGGGTATGATTTTTTTTTACTCATCTAAAAATCGTCTGCAGTAAAATTCAACGTATCGTCCCGTAGTCTCGAATTATTATTAACTTTATACGTTTTGTCGCTTTACGAAAAGGTAAAAAAAGGTGAAATTGAATTTACAAGCTAAATAGCATTTTTCAATAAACAACCCAGCATAATACTTTGAGTTTATATAAATAGGAAGTATAAAGGTAGCCAATTTTTTTTAAACTATTAATTAAATATGACATGGAGATATTTTATGCTATTATAATTACATAATTATATTTATATAGTATATAAAGGTGCATATTCTAATATCAAAAGGGTCACATCCTACCCAGACCAAATCTGATATGTGATATTTTGTTTTCTATTATAATATTAAATTTTAGTAGATCAACTTGCCCATAAATATAGACCTTTCAATACTTCATTCAGTCTATAGGAAATATTGTACATATTCTCCAATACTAATATTTCAAATATTATCTTAAATAAAATTAAGGTATATCATACATTCAATAAAGTATTATTACTTTAAAAGTATTTTGTAATAATATTATACTTTGGCTATATTATTTGAAATTAAGATATAATTTTAGTTAAGGAAAATTATTATTTTTTTTAACAAAATATAATCCACTAAGTTTCAGATGGCTATGCCTAATCACTTTAAAAAGCATAAAGACTATAATAGCCTTACTGCTTACTTTACATACACAAATAAACCATGCCTTGTACCCTGGATTGTTAAGAACAATTTATTTACTATGTCCAAAGAATGCACGAGTATATTAATTATAGATAAATTTTATATTAATATATTATAGATGCAATCTGCCTTCAAAAAAATTATTTTTCTGTATGATGCTAAAGAATTATAAAGCTATTCAAGATGATATTCCTATTCTCACCCAAGTAGCTGTTGTCAGTGAAAACAATTATGCATTAATTCCATGTAAATATAATATGATTAATACATTTACTATATCAATTATAAAGTTATTCAAGATGACATTCCTATTCACACCCAAGAAGCTGTTGTCAGTAAAAATAATTATGCATCAATTCCATGTAAAATTCAATATAAATAATATTCATTATATCAATTTAATTGCAATGATATTCAAAATTTATTTTCTTTTTAAATAGATCAATCACCATTCAATTTTCAAGATTTATTTTTTTTAAAAAAATCAATTTATAAATTAATAAAATCAAAATATAATAATGACTTTTTATATTCTAATAAGTATTTGTACATTAATGATAAATTAATATATTATAAATGCCATACAAAACATTGTAAAGGGAGGAGGATTTTAAATACTCATTTTATAATGACACAAAAGCATATTGATCATAATGATGAAGATATATATAATACGCTCATCACGATCAATATGCTTAAAACAGAACTTAAATCAAAATATCAGTATTAGAAAGACATACAGAAAGGTTATGAGAGACAGATAACTCGATCCTTTCTGTATGCAAAACCCCAAAACGTTACCTACCTTTTTATCAGTTAAATCCATTATGGGACGTGTTATTCAATTAACACGACCCCCCCCTCCCCTTTCAAATGATGATATTATATTAACCCAAGAGCACACAAAATCACATTTAAGTTTTTTTAAAACTACAATGTCTACTTTTGCCATATATTCTTTTTTCACGATTTTTCCTCCGTCATGTAATTATATTAATTGTTCAATAATTTTCATGTTGTCAATAAAATAACAGCTATTAGTCTAAGTATTTATATTCTAGTCGGGTCATACAGAAGTGGTATACGCCAATTACAATATTATGGTCGTTCTTACATTTATAGCCTAATTTTATATTGTATTTATCCACAATTTTTGTGATTTTTTATTTATTTATTAACGTTTTGTATTGCATTTATGCGCATTTTTTATCCAATTATTTTTTTCTGTATCTAACGTTATTCGTATATTTATACTAAATGATACCCTTATAAATAATGTATTATAAGATAATATATTTATTTGTGAAATAAATATTATTTAATAAAATAAAAATATATCCTTTATTGCTAATAAATGTATATTGCAATAAGTATTAATCCAACGATAAAAAATTTATTCAGGTATTTCCTACTAAGTTAGGTAACATATATACTAATAGAATCTCAAAAAAATTAAAAGATGTGAGGAAATCTGTTGATTATATAAATAAGTATAAATCCAACGATAAAAAATTTTTTCAGGGATTTCTTACTAAGTTAGGTAACTTATATATACTAATAGAATATCAAAAAAATTAAAAGATGTGAGGAAATCTGATGATTATATAAATAAGTATAAATCCAACGATAAAAAATTTATTCAGGGATTTCCTACTAAGTTAGGTAACTTATATATACTAATAGAATCTCAAAAAAATTAAAAGATGTGAGGAAATCTAATGATTATATAAATAAGTAAAAATCCAACGATAAAAAATTTATTTAGAGATTTCTTAGTAAGTTAAGTAATTAACATATACCAATTAATCATAAAGCAATATATTATATAAACCAATATATATTTATATATCTAAATATATTATAAATAATTATAATTAAATTTTATATATGATGTAAATATATTATATTAAATATATATTCAATTATATTCAATATATAAGTAAATTAATATATAAAATATATTATACTAACTATGTTAATAATATTAACTATTATATTAAATTTAAATATATTAATTACATTATATTAAATACTACAAACAATCATATATTTAATTATTTTATATATCAATTAATTTAATATTAAATACATATATTAAATATTTATTAAATTTTATATATGATGTAAATAAATAATTATATTCAATATATATACACTAACTATGTTAATAATATTAACTATTATATTAAATTTAATTATATTGATTACATTATATTAAATACTACAAACAATCCTATATTTAATTTTTTTATATATCAATTAATTAATAAATATTTAAATTGTATTATTTACTTTATTAAATTACAAATTTCTAATAATTCGTTACTAATTTAATATTAATTTAAATTATAAAATCTGTCTCATATGTAGCAACCGATTGAAATTTTTTGGCGGCCATGTTTTAATTTTATATTTTAAAATCTCTCGCTTTTGGTTGCCATTTTAGCTTATTTGTCTTTTTGATACTTTTTAATATTCGAGACAGCGGACCCAAATCAAATTCAAAATATGATGAAATGAGGCTATTGATAATGCACGTTTTCAGACAAATATAAGAATTTACTAAACAATGACTAAATCTAATTTAACTACTTTTTGAATATATATGAGCTTTTTCCAAAATTACCTGCTCATATAATCTTAAATTAAATGTTAGCCCCAACCTCCCCAAATAGTTAAATCATAAAAAACAGGCCCAGGAAATTTTATAATCTCATATCATATTTATCTATTAGGCTAGCAAGACGTTTTTTAAAGGTTTGGTTTTATTTTTGCACCCTGCCATTTATATAATTTTTTCAAAATATTATTTTTTACCAGTTGTTTCGAAAAATAGTTATAGGAAAATTTTTGAAATTCAGCACAATACAAAATAAATTTGTAATTTTTAAAATGTATCGAGGTACCGAATCGTTTAATAGTGGGTCTAGATACCGATACATAATCTAAAAATGTATTTGGACTACTTTAAATTTTACAGATACAACTTTATTTATATACAGGATTTGCCGTTGTTTTTGAATAGAAACTCTTATTATAAGATTACAAAATACGACATTTTATTTTTTATTATTTCCAACCTATAAAAAAGTAATAGAAAAAAATGTCAATACCCTTATTTTTATTGTTATTTCAAACAAATTCTCACTTAAAGAGAACATTTTTTAAAAAAAGCAATTTTTATCATTAAACATAATTTATTTATAAATCAGATATATCTATAAAATTATTTTAAAAAATTTTCAACAAATTAATTTGCTCAAAATAATTTTATGCATCAATGGTATGGTCTTTAATAATTAATGGGTGTCATGGCTAAACACGGATTTAATTCCTTTACATGAGAAAAATATCATTCACAATCTTGAACTAATATCTATAGAGAGATTTAGAAGGAAAAATAATATTTAAAGAATATTTATATATTTTTTTTTAATATATAAGTTTTAATATTTTTTTTATATCTAGACCTAATATTTTTTAATATATATTTATTTAAACTATATGCGCATATGAAATAAATTCAAATATTTTCATTTTTAATATCAAAAAGCGTTAAATAATAGTATATCAAAATATATTTAAAAAGGTATCTAATAACAGATCCATACGCCTCTAATAGTATCTCGATACCGGTACATATAATTTTATATAAATGTATCTATATATCGACACCACATTTTTGTATTCGGATACAGTTTTAAAAACTCTGATATTTTTTAATATATTTTCGTCCATATTTCAAACTCTTAAAAAAGCATCAAGTTTAGAACATATTTCTTTATTAAAAAAACCAACAATAAAACAATTCAGTCATATATCAAAATCTTTTGAAAGATTTTTTTGGGTATTTTTTTTATCTAAAATATTTCGTTCTCTATTGTAAAAATTGACAGAGCAATAAGCCATCTCGTGTAATACTATTACCCTACAAATAAGGTTTCCTTAATTTGTGTCTTGAAAATCACCTTTTGGGCACAGGCAACTTGATGGAATATTTTGAATATTTTTCTTCTAATTTTGCTACTTATAAACATTTTTTTTGTCGTTTCGGGAATGTTTCAGTGCTAATATCTATCAAAAATGCCACTCTAAATTGATGATTTTATTTGCATAATAAGAAAATTCGCAGAGGTGTTATTTTTTATTAAAATTTCCCTGAGTACATTAATTGTGTGCTATTATTACTCATAAAATGAAAATAATTATATATAGCATCAGTCGGCATATAATAATAAACACTGCCAAAATTTCATTTAAATATATTATACACATTTTTTCAAATTTAAACTAACCCTCAAATCCATATATCATTAATGATTAACCTTACCACCCTTTTCAAGATATCTGCTTGATCAAGTTGGTTTAAGCTTATTTATATCAAGCTGGAAATTGAAGCAAAATTTGGGGTATCAGAGTCAGCAACTTCAAAAGGAGGACTTGGGATATTTATATACAAGGGGATGATTTATAGCGTTATCAAATATTTTGAAAAAAATACATAAAAAAACTAATATCATCCCACGTTATGCATCATTTCTCTAGAAGGTCACAAATTTTGCCATTGTAAATCATTAGCCAACATCCAAATCAAATGACTTACTCATCAATTAAATTTAAACTTTAGAACCAATGCCGCGAGCTTTTTTTAATGGCAGAGTTGTTAAAAGATACTTTTAAAATGAATCTACATACAGGAACAGATACATCGTCTAAAAAGTTATCTAGAAACAGATATATAGTCTATAAATCTAGATACAGATACAATTTTTAATATACACTTAAATAAGGTTTGTATAAACCTAAATTATGATTTGTGAAAATCATGAAATGAGCCAAAAAATTTATTGACTCGATATCACATTTATCAAAATATAAATAAAATAATGATTTTTAGATTTTAATATAATAATATAATATATGAAAATATATGATTGGATTAAAATAATTATTAGATTTCAATAAAATATTTTAAAAATTTTGATTATTAAGGCATCCTGTAAAGACATTTTTAGCTGCACTAAAAAGTCTTGCTAACAGGGCGCTTGAAGGGATTGTGGTGCTATATTTTATGAATAACAATTTTACATCAATATATTCTTTAAAAATACTAAAATATTGATATTTATTTTTAAAAAATTATTTAAATTTGTTGAGTACAAAATTTAAACCATTATTAATCATATCCGCTGCTGTGGGCTACT